TGGATGGATTAGAAACAGTCTTTCAGCTTTTATTCTGAAACAAGAAGAGATACTGCCTGGAAAGCACTTAGCATAGTTCTTAAATCTAAGTGGCTCTTTTGTATTTTAAGTCAGACAGATGTTTCTAGTCAATCATGTGCATACAAGTTGCAATTTTACCTGGACACGAAATGTTGGAACATGCATCCCATGTCTAGAGAAATCTTTATAGCCATAACTAGTATCCTCAAAATGACGAGATACATCTCTTGCTGGTGTAACTTCATCATCATCTGGGGAAAAAGGCCATTGAAAGGTTTTTAAAAATGGGATGCTAGTTAAAATTGACTTTACCCAAAGCAAGTAAAAATGGCATAACCCTTTCTCTGTTACTGAGTAACCAGTATCAACCAAAATAGTCTTACAATTATACAAAGTAGTTTACTTGCTAGTAAATAGAATAAAGGAGATTCTCTGTTATAAAATGAAAACTCATAGTCGAATTCTCTATGCCTTTTATTGCCTCTTTCATAGACCCTCTCTCTCTCCTCCCATTCCAATTTATATGTATTAGGTTCTACTTATTCAAAGTATGAACATACTTTTGGATAATTTTTAAGATAACTATAAAAATCAGCTATGCTTCAAAATTTAGCATTTATTTTTGTTGAATATTAATGACATATAATATGTAACATGATCAAAGAAAGAAATCCCATGAGTTAACATTTTTACAGTGCTGCCTGCACTGTGCCTAAGACTTTCTGAACTATCATCATGTTTAGAAGTTGATGAGATTATAGTTTCATGTAAGTGTAGCATTAGATGACAACTCTACATCTTTAGGCATGGAAACAAAAATTTTTCCTGGAAGAAAAACAAGCTAACGTCCAACCTCCATTTAAACAAATTTGATTGTTTCTTTGCTATTAAGAAGCTTGGTGCTCTTTCTCCCACTCTATTATTGTCAAAATACATCTGGAGACATTTTATAAGCTGTTTCTCCTTTAAATTACCTGGTTTATATATTATCTCCTGTAGCCTGCATATAGATAAAGGTTAAACATAGAGGATTTAGGTGGTTGTTGGTTATTTAATAAATATCTCCTTTTCACAAATGATACTTTTTGTTGTTGTTTGTTTTTTTAGAGACGAGAGTCTTGCTAGGTTGCCCAAACTAGTCTGGAATGACTGGCTTCAAGGCGATCCTCCCACCTCAGCTTCTTGAGTGGCTGGTACCACAGGTACAAACTACCATGCCCCCCAAAAATCACAGAATTTTAATGCTGGAAGCAGTCTTGGGACTATTTCCTCATGTTAAAGAAGAGAAGCATGGGCAATATAGCAAGACTTCCATCTCTACAAAAAAAATTTAAAAATTAACTAGGCGTGGTGGCATATGTTTGTAGTCCTAGCTACTCAGGAAGCTGAGGCAGGATGATCGCTTGAGCCTAGGAGCTACAGTCACGCCACTGCACTCCAGCCTGGCAACAAAGCAAGATGCTGTTTCTTAAAAAAAAAAAAATGAGAAAAAAGACAGCACTCATATGTTAAGTGACTTAGCCAAGTTCACAAAGGTTATTAGAAGTAATTTTAGTACCAGAATCCAAATTAAATGTCCTCCCTCTTAGTCTAGGCTGTTTTCACTTATGGCCTTTTCTTAGTTGCTTGCTTTAAAAATTATTTGTAAATAGGAATATCTATGCAATAGCCTCTCTAAAAGGAAGGACATATTTAGATTGATGCTTTAAAAGTCATTTAAATTCCCTAAATAAAAAGTTGAGTTTGCAATAATTATATTGACTATGTAATGGTTGTTCTTACCTGAAGAGAAGACAAACATGCTCTCTCTTTTTTCTATTTCAAAACGTGAAGCCATCTCTTCCTGACTTGCCTCTTCTTCATCTCGACATTCCTGTAACTGCCTCATCTTTTCCATGAGGGCTTCAACCTCAAAGAAAGAATCACTCACCTGAAGAAAAAATACAATTAATGTTACACGTGGCAGACACAGAATATATATGAATTATCTTTTAAGTCTGTCTCATAAGAATTTATATCTTTTATTTCTTTTTTTGAGACAGTCTTGTTCCATTGCCCAGGCTGGAGTGCAGTGGCGAGATCTCGGCTCACTGCAAGCTCCGCCTCCCGGGTTTATGCCATTCTCCTGCCTCAGGCTCCCGAGTAGCTGGGACTACAGGTGCCCACCGCCATGCCCGGCTAATTTTTTGTGTTTTTTAGTAGAGATGGGGTTTCACCGTGTTAGCCAGGATGGTCTCGATCTCCTGACCTTGTGATCTGCCCGCCTCAGCCTCCCGAAGTGCTGGGACTACAGGTGTGAGCCACCATGCCTGGCCAGAATTTATGTCTTAATAGAATATAGGGAAAATATTCTTATAATTTTAATGTACATTAATGAATAAAAAATTATTTTGGCCTATTAGGAATACAGACATGCAGATTTTAAAATATAAGAAAAACATGATTTTAAGAACACATTCTAATGCTTTTACAAGATTAGCAATAATGTCATTACCATTTATGCTGTTTTAAAAACTAAACACTACTTGTCAATTTAAAACAACTGCATAAGTTAACTTCTACTTGCTTAATCTTTAAATAAATAAGATACACAAAGTATAAGTGAGTTTGCATCAACTGTGTACACTGGGCATACATATTGTCAATGTGTCTATCATCTTTAATAATTAGCTCTATTTATACAATTTACCAATTAAACATGAAAGATGTCTTTACATGGCTGGAGTTGGCCACCTGACCTCTGCAAATGGATCTGGCAGCTGTCACTTGCTGGGATGACTAGAGCAGTGTCACACATAGAGTAATAGGTCTGACAAAGGACTGGCCAAGTTGTTTTGCACTAGTCAAACCGGTTATACTTCTATACCCTGCTGCATTCTTGCTACAAAAGCTAGATCAAATCTATACAATTTATATCTTTCTTATAAATAAAATGAATATATTAAGAAGTCTAGGTTGGGCTAGTGGCTCACGCCTGTAATCCCAGCATTTTGGGAGACCAAGGCAGGAGAATCGCTTGAGCCCAGGAGGAGTTCAAGGCTGCAGTGAGCTGTGATTGTGCCACTGTACTCCAGCCCGGACAACAGAGAGAGACTTTGTCTCAAAAAGAAAAAAAAAAAAAAGTCTTAGTCTCAAATCTCAATGTATATATACAAAATTAATGTTTCCCCTTTTATGAATTGATTTTGCTAGGAATGTTTTTAAGACCTCTATCTCCCATTTTTCCTGGCTTCCACCCATTGATTCTTTAGGTAGCAGCTTACATCCTTCTAAACACTATCATTTACCCCACTATCAAATTAGATTCTAACACAACCCTCTCCTCTTTCCTTCAGAGGACCAATCATAATTTATAATTGTTATTTGCATGATATTGATTTAATGCTGGCTCCCTTCCCAGACCAAACCTTCAAAAGGTAGGAGATCTGTTTGGTTTACTTGTATATATCCCAAGCCTAGCAGAGTACACTTGGTACATAGTAGATATTCAAGAAATACTTGTTGGAGAATGACTGTCAGGATAATTCTACATTAAGAGACAATCTATATCACTTGTGCTTTACATTTTCTTTTGATCCAAACAGTTATGCTGAAATGCCCAGTATTAAGCCCTTCCTCTAAGACTTTCATGATGGGAAGTGTTTCTGCGATGGTACTGAAGATTCTTCTGGCGCATGCATGCATTTTCCCCGTAATTATTCCTGACACATGGTCAGTAACCAAATAAAAAATGAGCTGAAAAGGATTAGGTTTCATGATAGGATGACTCAAAGTTTAAAAAAGGTCTCCATCAACTCACATTATCTCTCACTAATTTATTTTGTTTACCCATTCTCCTCTTAAAGAGCCCAAATTGTAAGTATTCTTAGGAAAGATAATTCTTGATATTATATTGAAATAAGAGGGAAACGAAACAAAGTAGGTTTCTTTGTTCCTTGACTGATCTGCCCAAGTTGTTAGGATTAAAAAAATTACGGCATTTCATTTTAATATTAAAATGTTAAAACTGTGTAAGAATTTTTTTTCCCCTTTATAAATTACCCAGTCTTGGGTATGTCTTTATTAGCAGCATGAGAACAGAATAATACACCAATACTTAGAAGCAACCAACGTGTCCTTCAGTAGCTACTGGAATAAAGAAACGTTGGTACATCCAGAAAATAAAAAATTATTCAGTGCGAAAAAGAAATTAGGTATCAAGCCATGAACAGACATGGAAGAAGTTTAAATGCATATTACTAAGTGAAAGAAGCCAATCTGAAAAGGCTACATACTGTATGATTCCAACTACATAACATTCTGGAAAAGGCAAAACTATGGAGACAGTAAAAAAAGGAGTAAGTAGTTGCCAGGGTTGGGAGGGATGGAAAATTCTTGTTTGTTTGTTACCATTTGTATCTGAAGAGCTGAATCAGATATTGGATATGTACCTAAAAAACAAGCCATTTCAGCTCACTGTCAGGTGTCATCAGTGTGGGCCATAAACCTTCTAAAAGTATCCAACTTACCTGGGAATCGGAAGCTTATCTATTAGAGAAATAAAAATCATCTTCTTTCACTATTCATTCTTTTAATAGAAGGAGAACTAGAAACAATCAAGTACTTTTTTCTTTAGCCTTGTACTAAATGATTGGTAGCAAGGACAAGAATCCATCTCCTAGCATTCTAGCAACTGAAAACTCTCTCTTGGATCCTCTTCTGACTGCCAAGCTTTGACAAATAATCAGTGGCTATATGCAGGCCTATAACATGAATCTAGGCAGCTCAAAGGATGGTGAAACTGATGGTCTTTGGCAGTGTCAGGACAGTGCTATGATCAACCTTGGGAAAATTATTCTTTCTTGTGCTAATTTCACCATATGTAAATGCTACCTCTTATTTAGCACCTCACAAATGCTCAGTGCTGTACTTGGCATTTTACTTCTTTAGAGACGTTTCATTTAAACCTCACAATAACTTTGTGTTTTACTTTTATTTAGATATGAAATAACTGAGATTCAGTAACTTGCCCGAAGTCAAATATGTAAGTTAAAGGCAATTCAACCTGTCAAATCTATTTCAAAGGGATAATATAACTCAGAAAATGCATGCAAAGCATTCAGATGGCTGTGATACTGCTTCTAAAATTTATTTTTGAAGCATAAAATAAACACCTGCTTTTTTTTTGCTACAGCAAAAGAATGCAGGAGGGGATTCTGATTCATCATATATAGGAATTAAAATTTGCTTATAGAAAACTGAACTTGCTCTGTTTCAAAGGAGTAACAAAACTGAGAATATATAAAAGCCAGGAAGATAAGGAATAGAGGTGAAAGCATTTTAACACATTTACATTCACCTGATATCACCTTCTATATTGGTGCAAAGTTAAACATGAAAAAGAATTTTAAAGAGAGAAATTTCTAGATCAAAGTTGATTAAATCTTCTGAAAGATAAAAAATTATGAAGCCAGACTGTTTATTTTGTGCAAAAGAGAAGAATGTGATTGGCACAAAAAGTCTTCACCACTAGGCCACACTATTTTCAGCCTTCCCTCATGTCACTGTAGTAGCCAGTCTATATTATTTGGCCCTGATGGGACACATGCTGTTGGCTCCTGATCCTAAAATTATCTAAGTGTAAACTCCTAGAGGGTCTTAGAGTTTTGTACGTCACTTTTGTATAATTTTGTATATCACCTAGACTAGTGATGAGCATGAGGCAGTCAATAAAACCTTACTGAATGAATCGATATAGGGGCCCAATATCACCACAGTCTTAACAGGGTGGGTTTTTCTAAGAAGCCAATTGAAGAAATAATATAACAGCAATTATTGTGATTAGTTTTATGACAATCTCATGACAAATAATACTTACAGAAACATTTTCTGCTGAGTTGACCGGCATCTCATCCACACTGTGATTGCCATTTGTAATGTCACAGATGCAGTAGTTGCTAACAGAAGGAGGTCTGAATGTGTGGCCACCATCACAATGAATTTCTGGACTGATTCCACAGCCAAATGTGAACGAGGCAAGAGAATGATAGTGTGTGAGTAAAACTACTGCATGTACCAATTCCGCAAGGGACCAGCTGTGCTCTTCAGCTTTTAAAAGTCCCTTAGGGGGGAAAAAAAAATATATTTTTGTAGTGGGGTGTGGTAAAAGTATACAGTTCATTTCAGTATTTAATTTATTGAAAACATGAGTCACCATACAAAGTCTAGTATAAAATTATCATTTGAAACATGTAGAACCCAGAATTTGCTAGTTTTTATAAATATGCATTCACAAATACAACTTAACATAATCTGTTAAGACATTCACTATTATTTTGATTTTCTGAAATATTGACTTAAAATATAAGAGAATGCATTTTGCTTAAAAGTGGTCGCTGTATTTCAGATGCTGGATTATGAATGAATTACTGTGTTGTTAGTTCAAAATCTCAAAGCAAATGTAATAAATTTGTGTTTATAAGTAGAAGCTGCTGTTTGAAATGCCTGTGCTTTATTATAAGGCCTCCTCAAGGAATTTTTAAGATAGTGGCTTGAACAACTTGATTAAATACTCCTAAATCATCAAAAAGTTATACATAAATTCTATAATTCTTCTATTCAATTCTGTCACTTCTGCTTCATTATCTGTTTTGTAATCTTGTATAATTTTTCCTTACTTGACAATATATAATAGGCATTGTATTAATATATTCAAATCTTTATCTTCTTGATAATATCTTTAATTATCTAATAGTATCTATTCTATAAAATAGATAAGACCAAAAGATGCATCTTTAAGAATTTATAGTGCATGGTAGACAATTTTAGAGAACATCAATCTACTTTTACTTTATTACCTCTATTAATAAATAGAACCAGAACAAACTAGTTTAACATGACATTTAAAACATAACATAAAGATGCGTAACAATGAGATGCCACTTCACACTTATCAGAATGGCTGAAATCCAAAACACTGACACCAATGCTGGCAAAGATGTGGGCCAACAGGAATGCTGCTTCACTGGTGGTGGGAATGCAAACTGATACCACTTTGGAAGACAGTTTCACGGTTTCTTACAAAGGTAAACGTACGCTTACCATATTACCCACAAATTGCACTCCTAGTTATTTACCCAAATGAGGTGAAAACTTTTGTCGACCAAAAAAAAAAAAAAAAAACCTATACATGAATGTTTATAGCAGCTTTATCTGTAATTGCCCAAAACTGGCAGCAACCAAGATATCCTTCAATAGGTGAATGGATAAACAAACTATGGTATAACCATACAATAGAGAATTATCCAGTGATAAAAAGAAATGAACTATCAAGTCATGAAAAAGCATGAAGAAGCCTTAAATGGATGTTACTAGATGAAAGAAGCCAGTCTGAAAAGCTACATACTTTTATATGATTCCAACTGTATGGCATTCTGGAAAAGGCAAAACTATATAGAAACAATAAAAAGATGAGTGGTTGCAGGGGTTTAGGGGAAAGGGAAAGGGATGAACAGGTGGAACCCAGGGCATTTTTAGGGTACTAACTATTCCATATGATACTGTAATGGATGCGTGACATTATTTGTTGAAATACACCATTGTATGGTGTAGAACCATACAATGCAAAGACTGAACCCTAATGTGAACTATAGAGTTACTAGTAATATATCAATTACAGCAAATGTACTACAGAAATGCTATAACAGAAGAAGATGTGCACCTGTGGGAAGAGGCTCAGGGGGTAGAAAATAGGAACTCTCTGTACTTTCTGCACAATTTTTCTGTAATCCTAAAACTGCTCTAAAAAAGTATGAAATGACTCCCAAGATAAGATTACCCCACTGCTTACCTCAATATGTTCTTTGGTAATAAGCCAAGGTCTATGGGCTAGCACTTTGTTAAGTTCTCCTAAATTCTGTAGTTTTTGAGGAGCATTCTCTAAACCATTGAGCCACTTGGGGTCCCCACCAACATGAAGGAAATCATTTACATGCAGGTTCACTAAGTAGGAACACTGATGTCTTGCCGCAGCCTTCAGAGAAAACAAAAAGATTATTCTAATTATAAATATTAAAACCTGGAACTATTTTTTATTTACAACATGCAAAAGAGCTAATTAAGTTTATTAGTATGTTTTCAAATTTTCCATAAACTACAGAAATGCAGTTTTTATATAAATATTTTAAAAATTCAAATACAGTAAGAACCTTATAAATATTCCAAGAACAAAATATCTGATTAAAGTATTTGAACTTTAGACATTTTATCTATATACTTTCAGAACTTCCGATTAAGAAGAAACTTCAATTAAGGTGCCAATCATAAAATAATGGAATATTATTTACAAATTGAACAGGAAAAATACACTTATGCCAATGTGAACTATTTATAATGATGAAACAACTTTTGTTCTACTTATTTAATGAAGAATGGTTCTCAGCAATGAGAAAAAGAACAAGTATAAATACTTGTTTCTTTTTGTTATAATTGAGAGCATACTTATTTAAAAATAGGAAAAACAGAGACTATGTAACAGGAATCATATTATACATCATAATCTAAGTATTTATCCCTGTGTTTAAAGCACTGTCTCTTAAAGAGATTAATAAAAATAGCAAAAAGAATTTTTCACTGAATGTTTACAAACCATTATTCCAATGTAGTGCCGATAATGTAGGGGTAACGGCCCATCCATTTGCAGTAGATAGTGTTGAGTTTTTAAGAAACTTTCTAAATATTGTGGGTGGAAAACCATCACTAATGTAATGTTATCCAAACGGCCCAAAGCAGCAAAAGAATCTGCAAATAAAGCATGCATCTGTGCGTCTTCACTCCCCACTTGGAGGATCTGTAATGAGAGAAAAACCATGGTTACTGAAATTGTAAATTGGTGTTAAGGGAAGAAAATATACATGGGCTGTACTCTAAGTATCATTTAGAAGCAGATTAAATTTGGCTTAAGAAAGAGGGGTTACAGATTTAAACTCAACTGGTGGAAAGATACAGAAGAATAAACAGTTACATATTATATAGTAGGGGATAAACAACAAAGGCTGAACATTAAAGGCCATCTAGATAGGCTGCTTGCAGAGTTGGCCAGAATCCAGATAAAGAAGCAGATTTAGATTATCAAACTTGCAGAGCTTGCAAACACTAAAGCCTTTCTTTACAAAACTGCCTACTCTCGCTCAATTTAAGGAGAACTAAAATTAACTAATAGCATACAATCCTTACAAAAATAAAGCATAGATGCTTTTACACATATATAGAATTAAAGATCCAATCTAGCATTGATATCAGCCTGTGGAGATGGTCAAGACTAAGTAACTCAGGTTATAGGCACACCTAAACAACATCTAAATATAAGCAGATGGAGTATCATTGGTCAAAAACCAATCTTGGCTTTACTTAATTAAATATGGGTGTTAAAAATACACCATGAAATACTAGAAATCAACACAAGTACAACAGCTTTTTATTCCCACACATTCACTGCCAAAGCATGATTAACTGCAACCAACTCTGACTAAAACATGTTGTTGACCAACAGTTCTTCAGATGCCAAGATGTGGGTCATGAAAGCTCTTCCTTAAAAGCATACAGTTCACTATGTACTTTCACAAACAACATACCTCCTTTTCTGGGATGAATCTGCTTGGTCCCTGTCCTAGTGGTCGAGGAATTCTAATGCCAAGTTCCTAGAAAAGAAAATTACACCATCTCAGGCCTTTGGCAGTAAACAAAATGAACTGAGGCTAAAGGAATGGGAGGGAAAAACCACCAGTTGAACAGAGACAGGCTTGTTTTGGTGGTTTGTTTTCATGGCTGTATATACATACCAACTCTTCTGTTAGCATTGCATAGCTAACAACAGCTTATAATACAACTCTGACTAAAAACAATAAAACCTGTTTCACTAAAACCAGAGTTTTGCATAAAGTACTTGGCAGAAAGTCTAGAACAGAAAGTTCAGCACATAGCAGCCAACCAACCCTGTGGATCATCAGTGATACAAAATAAGACCAGTGTGTTTGTACATCTAAAACTCAACCAACCCAAATATCAATCCCTGTGTGTCGTCAGAAAATGAAAAAGCAGTACTTCCACCTAGGTGTCTTAAACTAGAAGTGTAACTATTATTACATCTAAAACAACACCTCACAGAATGTAAATTTACGAAAAATAAAAACTATATTCACAAGAGACAGCATTACAGGGCATGTTTTCTCTGTAGTTAAATAATTTTAGAGAAACTCATTTTGTTTGTAAGTTTGCCTTAAGTTTTTTTTTATTTTTAGGATGTCATCAACCTTGCCCATATTATATTTTAGAGAAGCTCAAATAATTGAGAAATAGTTTTCTGACATTTGACACAGTGACTCTAGAATCCTGTACCTTATGTGACAGTATAGTATGGTTAACAAGAACTGAAAATCTGTTAGGGTTTCCTTTCCCTCCCTCACCCTCCCCATATAGTGTGCTTACAGAAACAAAACCAAAATAATATATTTCAACTTTCTGTTGTTGTTTTGAGGTATGTCCTATCTAGTGTCATTTAAAAAATTTTTTAGAATTTATACAATTAAAGATTAACCCCTTCACTCATATATATTATATATATATAATTAAATACTCATATAATTCTACTCTCTCCTTACTGCTTTTAAAAGTTCTTCATGATATAAACCAGGTATCTGCCTTTTAAAGAAAAAAGTGGGGATGGGTGGATTCACAGAGAGAAGGACATGTGGCAGCAATCCAAGAAATCTGGTCCCAGCAAATGAAAATCTTTAAAGCAGAATAGACTTTTAAAAAGTAAGCAGGAGGCCGGGCGCGGTGGCTCAAGCCTGTAATCCCAGCACTTTGGGAGGC